CACAGAAGATGGAGGATGCACAACGTTATTCAGTATATGTAAGGTAAGTGAGATTTGAATCGCTTCCCGGGTGGCCATTGTAATTAAACTGCCGGCCTGGAGCTTCTTGGATCTGAGCGTCCGTCTAAACATGGTCTGTTAGCCCTGCCCACTTATGCCGCATGGTGCGCAAGAGCGGCAACCTGTCAAAATTTGTAAACAGTCAACGATGCCTGTTCACATACAAGCGATCCGCTGGCTGTAGAGCTGGCAGATTGCTTATCTGAGGTGCCGGTCTGTGCGCCCCCCCCTCCGCTGGTCCCGAACTCCGCTGTGCCCGGTGCGAGCCTGAGACCAGCATGGTGGCTGTGTGACAGGAGATCAAAGAGACATCAGTATACGATCTCCCTCTGATCTCCTCCCGATTGTTGGAATGCAGGAAGTGATGTATGTTACATCACTTCCGCATTCTTGTGTCACTCTCCGGCTTCAGATCTCTGCTTCATCAGCTTCTTTGGGGGTCCCTAGGTGACATTAGGGGTCTAAAGAGGACCTGTCACATCCTCTTTGCTATCACATAGAGGGTTTCTTATCCCCCTGTGTGATAACAATAACGTCAGGTGAAAAAAAAAGTTTAAAAAAAATGTAAGTTGCTAACAAAAAATGAATGCCACACATAAAAAAAGAATTAAAAAAAAGTTTTTAAAGTCCCCACCCCACATACACACGTGCAAACATGCATCAGGTGTGCATACGTGTGTAAACAACGATTGCGCCTATTATGCCACACATGTTACATATCACCGCGAATGCTGGCAATAATTTTAGGGCCATTATTCACTGATAACACTTAACTGATGAGCGGTAAAAGCTTTTACAGTGCTGCCTGTGGTCAATTTTGGGTATGGTAGTTTTTTGCAATTTTGCGGGCACATGCAACTTTAAGGCTTGACATTTTTGGTGTCTATTTACTCGACATGACCCCGTCTTTTATATTTTACCAAACAATTAGGTAATAATAAATGTATTATATTTTTTCAAAATTTTCGATAATCTTTCCTTAACCACTTGCTGACCGGGGTATTTACACCCCCTTCCTGTTCAGGCCATTTTTCAGTATTCCGCACTGCAGTACTTTGACTGACATTTATTCCGTCATGCAACGCTGTACTGAAATTAATTTTATACCATTTTTTTGGGACAGATGGAGCTTTCTTTTGGTGGTATTTAATCACCACTATGGGTTTTTTATTTACTATATAATGAAAAAAGTAACGAAAATTTTGAAAAAAAAATGTTCTCCCTACTATGTTATAAAACATTTAATATTACCCAATTTTTTGTTAAAATATAAAAGACAAGGTCACGTCAGATACATAGACACCAAACATGTCAAGCTTTAAAATTGCGCGCACCCGCTAAATCGCAAAAAACTAACATACTCAAAATTGACCATATGCTTCAAAAACTTTTACCGCTCACCAGTTTAGTGTTATCAGTTATTAATGGCCCTATAATTATTGCTCTCACTCCGACGTTTGCGGCGGTATGTAACATGTGCAGCGTAATGGATGTAATCGTCGTTTTCGCACGTAGGCGGACTTGACGCATGTTTGCGTCTGCATGTGGGTGTGGGGGACTTTCATTTAAAAAAAAATGTATTGCTTTGATATGTGACATTTAATTTTTTTATTTTTTTGTAACTTTAATTTTTTTAAACCTTCTTTTTCACTTAACTTTAGTGCTATCACATAGGGAGCAAACAAGCTCCTATGTGATAGCCAATTTGCAGTGACAGGTCCTCTTTATGGAGACATCAGCGGTCTTTGAGACCCCTAATGTCACCTAGGGACCCCCAGAGAAGCTGATGAAGCAGAGACCTGCTTCACCAGCTTCTCTCCGGTTTCTGTACCGGAGAGTGACAGAGGAATGCGGAAGTGATGTAATATACATCACTTCCTGCATTCCAACGAGGAGGAGAAGATCAAACGGAGATCGTGTACTGATCTCTGTTTGATCTCTGACCACAGAACTGCTGTGCTGGTCCCGGGCTCACACCGGGAACAGCGGAGCTCGGGATTGCCAGCAGCGGCTGTGACGGAGGGGGCGCACACCCGCACGCATATTACAAGCAATCAAGCGTCTCTACACGCCTGGACGCTTGTATGTAAACAGCCATCGCTGGCTGTTTACATTCAAAGCCTATTTCCTGTTCATGTGCGCTGGCGGGCACGAGCTGGGTGGGATGGGACGTTTAAAAACGCCCACCCGCATTCAAGAAGCCAATGTCCGGCCGTTTAATTACAACGGCTGGACAGCAGGTGGTTAATATAGTAAAAAATAAAAACCCCAGCAGTACAGCAGTACTTAAATACCTCAAAAGAAAGCTTTATCTGTCCAACAAAAATTTTATCAAATAAATTTGAGTACAGCATTACATAACGGAATAAATGTCAGTTAAAGTACTGCAGTGCTGGATACTGAAAAATGACCTGGCCAGGAAGGGGGTGTATACACCTGATCTTTAATCAGGTGGTTAAAGTGCTGTAATGTTTGTCATATAATCATGCAGGGTGGTAGAGTGGACCTTACTGATTTGATTGCTCATTTGAATGCTGCTGTACCCCCAATTTGGGAGCAGACCAATTTGCAATGACTCCATTTGCTAAGAAAGAGAGACAAGGAACATGCTAACAGGAGGAAAGAGCAGAGAGTTGATCTATTCACTACGTTACTGCTCCTTCACTGTTCACTGAAGACAGGGAGGTATCCAAGCTGTTGGTGAACTGCACCAGGGAAAACTTAGGTATGCTGTATGGTAGGTCTCTGTAAATCTCAGGACTGGCTGAACATTAGACATGTGCGATTCGTTTCGTTACGAATTGAAATTCGTACGAATTTTCCTGAAATTCCGAATTTCGGAGCATCCGAAATCCGAATGGCAGTTTCCGAATTATATCCGAAATACGAAATTCCGAGAACATAAATACAAATCTTTTGGCAGGTAAGATTGTATCTATTTTCATATTTCAGCTCTGTTTTTAGATGTCTTCCTGCAGTTCAGCTTTAATTTTAACACTTAAAGAAACTGCAATAACTATTATTACTATTATTATTATTAATATTTTATGGATCTGTAAAGATAGACAGATATATCAACAGCTGGTCACACTACCTAGTGAATTGGTACTATGGACATGCATTCATCTTATGAAGTCTAAAAAGCCAGAAATCGTATCCTGAATATCAGACCAGGAAATCACTAGGTAGCAAAGCCAGGATCAAGTTGACAGCCCCAGAGCTTACATTATTAAAAATAGATCAGCATAGGAAGCTCTCATATTTCTCTTTCTCACAGGTTCACTGTAAAATAAATGCAGTATGGGTTTCAGGAGGTGCAGATTTCTCTCTGTCCAGTGTCTAAGGAGACATATGTCTGTCTCTGGCCAACTTTTATTTACATTTTTCAGCGTTCAATTAAACCTGAGCACCAGGCAAACAGCTAAATGCACACATAAAATACATATATAGAAATTGTCTTATTTGACAAAACAATTGTAATTCTCTTTAATTAGATTTTGGATGCCTCTGATTATGTACTTTTGCTGGATAGAATAGTTGGGTCCCAGAGATGCATTTAGGGAGTACAGCTTGGTTAAGGGACCACCGTCAACCTGCGTATTGACCAGTGAAGGATTAGCACTAGATGATAAAGTCATCCCTGTGTTCAACCCTACTGTAAGCATTTTTACGGTGTTAGACTGACAACAATGTGACAAGTAATAGAGCCCTACTATACAGGACATAACACGATATCTGCTAGCTGTATTTAAATTAACATTAATGTTTTGTATTAAATGTATAAATAAATGCAGTCTGTTTAATCTTTTTGGAGTTCAGCTTTATGTGCCTTGTAACCACTCAAAATGTCCATAGAACATATTCTAATAAAGGCATGAAAAATGTTAGTAGCAAAATGGTTCTTTTTCTCTGGATAAATTAAAATTAGATGTTGACATTTACAATTCAGAGGGATAAACTTGAAGTTTAAAACTTTTCTCCAGTTCTTTGAACTATGAACAAATAAAACATTCTCTATTCACTTGGCACTTTTGTACCAGTAACAATAAAATGTACATCATCTATCAGCTGTAATGAACAAAAATCTGCCGTCTTTGTCAGCCTTTATTGCTCTAGGGCAAGCGAGATCTGTTATTTATGGTGATGGCTACTTTTTTGTTTCTTTTTTTAAGGAAATGAAACGAACAAAAATACACACAGAAAACAATTTGTCAAATTATGCTTGTTCACAAGATTTTCTAAAAAAAGTGAATCTCCAGCAAAGACAACCACTCCAGATGATGACATATAACTATATATTATTCTTTGTCAAGTTGGTTGATTTTCACATATTTATTTTTTAAGTTAAATAAATGAGCACAATTTGCGTAAAACTACCTTACATGATCATAAGTAGTGATCTGTATAAATTAGAATAATACAAGTCAGCACAAGACTGATTTCAGTACTTTATCTTCTTTCATTATACTTCCTAGTCTGTAGTCGGGAATTTCAATATACTTTCCCTTAAGTAGTGGATAGCAATTCATTCAAATAATCAAACTGTATTAGTATCCTGTTTCTATAAAGGTTTTATAAAGACTTTTTAAAATCACAATCAGTCTTTGGAAACTACTTTCCCTTGCTAAACCAAGCTTATGGAGAAGTTTATACCTAAAAGGAAAAATAAAGTAGTAGTTGATTTTTGCTAATGTGGATACTGTATATTAATATTAACCCTCTCTCGTCCCTCATGCCTACTCTCCTCAAAACCATTGGAAAGTTGGCAATTCTTTTTACTCATCCAAACCAGATGATGATGAGACCTGTGCTTTTTATTACACTGATAATCATTCAATTTACATTTTAGCTTCAATTCAGTCCATATATGTTGTTTCCTATTGCAAGCCCTAATAAAAGGATTGTCTTTAGAAGCCTGAAACACATTGGCTTCCTTTTTGTGCTTTTCCCTCTAACCTTATAGTGGAATAGAATTCTATCTGGACCAATAATCAGTGGTGTAAAGCTTTAATCCCATACCTGTTTTATAGCAAGTTGACAAGGAATTATTTCAATGAAAGCTGCAGATTCAATAATATTGAAATCAACTTTTAAAATTAAAATAACATCTAAAAGCTCATGGGATTTTTGTGACTGAGATTGAAATCACATATCAAGATATTTAAAAAACACATAAAACTACATAAATATGCTTACAATTTTAAGCTCCTCTATGGCTGCAATTTCATCATAATGCTTTTCAGGCTTTACTGAACTTTTATGGAAAACATAGTCTCCAAAGAAAAGATTGCGCATGTCCTCATCTTGCACTTTTCTTCCAATCACCAAATGAGTAAAGAGGTTGCTCATCTTCTCTTTAAACTGGGACTGTACAACATTCTAAAAGAAGAGCAGATAAAACAATAGTAATATAGTATTACATTATTATATACTAATGCAGACCCAAAATTACATTTACCAAACATTGATAATAGCAGTTGTGCTGTATAATGGCACAGGCAATTTACAGCAAGTCAGTAATTCAGCTCTCTTTTCATCATATTACCAGTGACCTTTATGTCATGTGTTAATATTTTAATTTATGTGCATGACATTCAGCAATCCCTCAGTGGATTCTTTTTCAGATGTGTAACAATGCAAAACAAGTAAACATATAAAAAAAACTTCAGCATATTAAAACTGCACATGATACTTAAGTCTGAGTTTACATAAAAAGTATTATGTGTATGTACTAAGATTTCCTATCTATAGTTTGAAAACACTGAAGGTATACATTACTGAGAAGTGTTCTGTATTTAAAGGAAACTGGCAGCTAAAGAATTTTGAAAACAGATTTAATTGAATGTAACACTGAAGGTACATGTATTTTATTCAGTCACTTTCCAAATATACATCTCTAGTAGCCATGCCTGATCATATGTATTTTACTTGCTTTAATTTGGCTTGCCTAGCCAAATTATAATCCTGATAAACCATGACATCCAGTTATTGTTATGCTTATTTATGAGTTTTAAAAAAAATCAGGAGCAGCTTACGGATAACATTTAAAACCCTTTCAGACAGAAAAAATATCATTTATTATACTGACACATATCAGTATACATAATTGGAGTGTTTAGCTTTATACAGGTATCACAACTTTTTAACCCCTTCGTGACTGACGACGTACAGTGTACGTCGCCAGCATCGGGGCTGTTTAAACAGACTCCCGGCGACTTTTGCTGCCGGGACTCTGTTTAAACTTGTAGAGCCGACTGTCGGCTTTACAACAGAAGCGATCCTGGCGACTTACCTGTCGCCAGATCGCTTCTGCGTCCCGAAGAAGGGGCCACATGGGTGCAAAAAATGAAAAAAGGGCCTCAGTCATGAAGGGGTTAAATAACTCATGCAGACACAGTTTAATGGCACACAAAAGACCCAGGCTGACATTTAGCAAGAACACCCAATTTCGCACAGGTTCTCGCACCTCTTTTTGTTCCTTTGTTTTCTGTTTGCATAAGAGGCAATTTACTATCTAATAGCTGTCCAAGTGGAACTGTGGCTCAATTCACTAATCTATAGGAATGATTTCTTGCCACAACAATCCTTGTTTTCAACAACCATAGCTAAAAACACATCATCATAATGGCAAAAAAGACATGCATTATAGTTTGCTAAATTGAGCATTGGTATGTGTTCCTGGTAATTTAACTGTTCATTGCATCACACTATCACTGTAGAGTTTTGATCCACTGACATGTCTTAATGCCACTTAAATTGAACCTGTGAGGAAAAATATATGGTAGCTCCCTTTGCTCTAATCATGCAGGGTGAAGGTCCACCTTTAAAAACCGAGGCTCCCCTACTTGATGTATCATGGACCCTAGATACACATCAAAGATAGTTGTTTAGAGATTTAAGACTTTATTCCCTGCATAGTTGTCAGGTTACTGACTAGATGATCTAGTGAATCTAGCATTAAAGTGACATTAAAGTCACAAATTTTTTCCTCCGCACCATGCTGCTTTAAGGCCTTACCTTAAATGATGCCTCTTGATCCGATCATCTTCTTCCTTTCACTTGTATTCAGCAATCCCTCCAGCGCTGATGCTGGTCTCTGATCCACCACAGACTTCTGTCCCTTCCTGTCCCATGGTGTCTGTCCAATGTGCATGCTCCTGGCTGCATGCATTCAGCTCCACTGTGTGTCTCCTCTTCCCCCCGCCAAAGATCTCTACTGCGCATGCTCCCGCCCCATCTCGAGTAGCCGTGCAGGATGAAGCTTCAGATCTTCAGTCAGGAGTGATCGGCGGAGACACAGGTAAGTTTGTACCTTTTTGATAACTTTTTTTCCCCCATGTTTTTGCATATATCTACTTTTTGGCTAGATAGATATATGCAAAAGCAAAGGAGAGTTCAAATCTACTTTAAGATTACCACCCCTTGAAAAAAAGCCTTTAAAAAACAATAATCAAGAATAACTTCCATATTTCTATCCCTACAAGTTCACTTAAACAAAAAAGTAACATTGTCTTTCAGCTTTACTACTCGATTATAATTCCTATTTTGCTTTAACAATCCCTGATGGAATACAAGGAATGATCCTAAGGTACATTGATATATTTTTTACTCACCCATTAAAGGTATAACCGAGTCTAACATAAACATGTTGTATTTATATGGGCAAAAGGGACGCATTCTACTGTTGCTCCGCTCAACTGTTTCCTATTGGCTGGCACCTGCCAGAGTCTTCTAGCAGGTCCTGTGCAATAAATAACAACTGGGCAGAGCCGGCCGTGACGTCACTTTTTAATGGTCATTTGGGGACTCTGATCTCTCATTACAACTGGTCAGAGTGAGCCATGAGATCATGGCAGGCTCTGCCCAGCTGTCATTTGCTTGGAGAAAAGTCGGCCCTTTGGTCGACCTTTCTCCACGCTGCGGCTGTCACTTCAGCTCATAAAGCATATGCATTCGGCTCGGCTGAGCCGCTCGGCTGCCTTCAGCTGCTGTATGGGCTTTTGTGAATAGGGATGGGCTGCATGTTCGAGTCGAACATAGGTTAGGCTCGAACATAGCCTGTTCTAGCGTTCGCCGAACGCCGAACATTACGGGATGTCCGCGACGGCTTCATAGGGAATAACCCTCTAAGTATTCAAGGGAGTGTATCATCTTTTGTACATACTTTCTTTCTTAATAATAAAGGACAGACCTACAAAATATATTTCAAATTTAAATGTTCTTTTTTTTCATTTGGACAAAGTAAGCTTCAAGTCAGGTTGTTACTACTCTGCTTCCTCTTTAGGTAACCCACTGTCTTTGTCTTGTATTAAATGTTTATGTGTTTAACAAAGAATGTAAAACATTAGTTTAAACATTTACAGAAATATAAAGTACAGCTGACAAAAAACTCTGCCTATAATTATTTAAACTTTTTTAACTAGTCTTTGTAAAATGAAAAATATAGATGGTTATTCACCAAGAAGCCGAAGGATATAGCGCATATAGCTGTAGTGTCGGCCAACTTCGGCCACGGAGCCCTTCGGTTCAGCTGAACCGTAGGGCTGCTGTGCGGGTTATTCACAATAGCCCATACAGCTGCCGAAGTCACAGCCAAAGCGGGGAGAACAGTCTGCCAAAGTAGACCATTCTCCCCGCAAATGTAAACAAACAAATTAGAACAAGAAAAAGGTGTGTGGTCCCCCTTCCGATCCATTCCAGACCCTATAAGTCTGGTGGGAAAGTTAGGAGGGACCCCCCCTAAAAGTATAAACAAGTGCCTTGAGTTTCCCCCAAAAGTCATACCAGGCCCTATAGGTCTGGTAGGAATTAGAAAGGGGAATTCCACAGCCAAAAAGTGGGGTGACAAAACGTGGAGTCCCCCCTAATATTCTCAGCCAGGCCCTTAACCCTTTCGCTGCCACCGACGTAAAGGCATATGGCGGAACAAAAGTGTTCCCGGCTGGCCAGCTCAGTATGCCTTAAGTCGGTGGCATTTACAGTTCTGCTATAAGCTCATGGTCGATTTAGCGACCATAAGCTTATAGCAGAATTGTTCAGCTGACTGTCCCCGTCAAAATAATAGCTGTCATCAGCGGCTCACAAGCCGCTGATGACCGATATTACTGAAAATACCGGGCGCCCCCCCCGGCACCACTGCTGCCGGATTAACCAACCCGAAATGAAGTGAGCCGAATGCCGTTCGGCTATTCACTTCAGGCTTGTACACCGTAAAACAAAATAAAATGATTTAAAAAATAAAATAAAATAAAAAATGTGTGAAAAAAACTAATAAAAAAAAGCACAACCCCTCCCTCCCCACACATAACACACACATATTGTGGTGCACACCATGCACATGCGCTGCAGTGCGTTGTTAGAACGCATCGCAGTGCATGATCTTTTTTATTTATTTATTTTCTTTTAAAAAAAACATTAAATTAACTGTGGCAGCGCATGGCAAAGCTTTGTGACTCATTGCCATGCGTTGTGATACCTTGTGTTGCAATTAAATATACACCTGTATCATTTTATCACAACACAAACACCAAAACAATTTTTTACATAAGTCGATTATTTACAGTTTTGCATACCTTCATTTTTTTACCTTTTCGCAAAAAGGCGCAATTACAAATTTGCTAATATTTGTTATTTATTAACTCAATACAGTTTTATCTTTTAGATTTAGTCAAAAAAATTTTTTTTTTGTGCACGGATACTGATTTTGGTGTGTTTTATCAATTGAATTGTGTATTTTTATCGGTTTAATAATAATTTGAGAAACATTTGCGCAATTATCGCACGGCCTACAAATTTAGTATCACCATCTTTTTATTCTACCGGGCCTGCGCTTTCAGAAAATATATGGTTTGGGGGTCTTTTACAAACGCTAGCAACCCAGCAGTTGAAAATTAAATCAATAGGAAAAAATTGCAAAAAATACAAAAATGGCTTGGCCAGCTGATTTGAAAAATGTTCCGGAGGGCTTGGCAGCGAAAGGGTTAATCTGAGCACAGGCCTGGCAGGGCAGGCAGAGGGGTAGGACAATTGAGCACCCCCCATCCCTGCACCATACGAGGCCACATACCCTCAGCTTCAGGAGGGTGCTTTTCCAGTGTTCCCCCCGTGCCAATGGGGACAAGGGCCTCTTCCCCACAAACCCTGACCAGTTGGTTGTGGAGGTCTGGCAGGCAGGGTTTTATTTTGCATTGGGGTGCTGCCCTGCCCCTTGTGAATGAGTAAGGGGTACTTGTACCCCTACTCATTCACTAAAGGGTTAAAAGTAAAAAGTAAACAGACCAGACTTTAGGAAAAAATCCATTAAAAGAGAAAAAAACTAAAACAAAGGTTTTTGACAAGTTATTTAATAAAAAAATATATAAAACACCAACAATGAAAAC